TTAAAACATTTAAATAAAGCTCCAGTGAAATTGAAAGTTTGTGTTGAGAAGGTGGCGGATGAAACGTGTGGCCCCAAGAAAGGTCACATGGAGAAATGAAAGAGCAAAGCAGAAAATCAAAGCTGCCCAGTTTAAGACCTCCAGAAGCATTAAGTAAGAGAGAATATATTTTGGAATCAATACACGTATTTCAATTTCTCTTAATTGGGAGACATCCGGAGACATTATTTATCTAGGGTACAGCGAGTGTTTTTTCCTGTCCCTTTATTTTATTCTTGCTTCATCTGGGGCATTCCTCCAAAGATCAGTCTCCTTTCCAGAATGATCCATAAAATGTTTAAATGTCAAGGATCAATGACAGAGAATGTGTGGAAATAGAGGTAGCATACAAGTGCATGTGGGGCATGTCAACTTGACAAGGGTATGGGAGGAAGAGGAAGTTACGGTGTTCAAAAGAAAACTGGAAAGTCATCTGTAATATGACTCCTCCTCTATCATACCCTATTCCTCACAATACATAGAATGTGTTTGTTTCGTCTCCAGAATCTCTGTCCTCAGGAATCCTGCCAGTAACACTGTGCTGTTGATCTCCATGTGATATATTCACCTCCTTACTGCAGTCCACCCTGCCCTCTGCTGCTCCCCACAGAGTGCTCTCTATTCCTACAGGTGCATGAATGACCAGTGACTCAGCATTACTTCTTCAGGGATCTTTGTTTTAGCTATCTATGATCAGACCCTTTGTTGAATATAGTATACATGCTACTTGGTTTTGTTTACAAATGCAGCAGTCATTTTCAAAATATCCATGGTTAGCCAGCATGAATCTGAAATACATTAAAAATATATGCAATGGGGCAGATGGTTGACATGGTTGTTAAGACCCTGCTGGGATGCCTGCATCTCACCTGAGACTCCCTGGGTTCAAGTCAGCTTCACTTTCCATTCCAGCTTCTTGCTAACGTGCACTCTGGGAGACAATAGGTAATGGCTCAATGAATTGGGTTCCTCTGACCCACATGGCAGACTCATATGGAGCTCCTGGTTCCTGGCTTCAGCTTGACCAAGCCCTGGCTATGGTGAAACAGTGAATGGGAGTTCACTCTCTGTCTCCCTGTTTCTCTGCCACTCAAATTAGTAAAGTAAATTTTTAAAAGGGCATGTAAAAATGCCCATTTTTTTTTTGCTTTAGATCAAATTTGATCATATTAAGTCTCTGCCTTTATAGAGAAGCAAGGATAGAAAATCAGACATTCCTACTCCTGCCCCCATTGTCTCGCCTCACTCCTGATCAATTCACATGAAGAATTTTGATATGTACATGATGCCTGAAACATAGTCACACTATGATTCCCCAGCAATGACAGTGACTGCCAGTGTTCTCCTCACCAAGACCCAGTGTTGGAAGGATATGCTGCTTATTAGCCATATTTGAGGCCAGGAAATCTTTGTGGAGTTGCAACTGTGTCATTTCCACTCCCTAGGAAACAATATTGGAGCAAGGCAATCTCACCAATGAATTCTTTTTAAATTTTTTTTCTCAAGACTATGTTTCTTTCTTTTTTTTTAAATATTTTTTTTAATTTTTTTTTTTTTTTACAGGCAGAGTGGACAGTGAGAGAGAGAGACAGAGAGAAAGGTCTTCCTTTGCCGTTGGTTCACCCTCCAATGGCCGCCGCGGCCAGCGCGCTGTGGCCGGCACACCGCGCTGATCCGATGGCAGGAGCCAGGAGCCAGGTGCTTTTTCCTGGTCTCCCATGGGGTGCAGGGCCCAAGCACCTGGGCCATCCTCCACTGCACTCCCTGGCCACAACAGAGAGCTGGCCTGGAAGAGGGGCAACCGGGACTAGAACCCGGTGTGCCGGCGCTGCTAGGCGGAGGATTAGCCTAGTGAGCCGCGGCGCCGGCCAAGACTATGTTTCAAACACCAAAACACTAAGGCCCTAACTAACCACCTGGGTCAACAATACAAATGAATGGTTCTATAGCTTTCAGTCAGGCATTATAGGAATCTGGACCTGGCCATTCATGAGAACTTCCTATTCTGTGGCAAAGGGCTTGCTTCCAGGGCAAGCTGTATGCTCTCCTCCAGGGAACAGAGATCTCACCCAGTCAGCTGCTGGGTTCAGCTGTCCCTCCAGGGAGATGGAGGCTGCTTGGCAGAGGAGTTAGATGAATCTCAGTCAAAGCCCAAGTTGGAGGAGGACAGGCTGCAGAGGACCCGGGAGTCCCTTGTGTTTTGAGCTGTCTGATAGCCTAATTGAGGCTCATATGCTGGTGAACTTACATGATCTACTGCAATTTCTCTGACAATATAAGAGCAGCCCCACTTTAACCATTTGTCTGAACATCATCTCCCCACAGAAAAACCTTGCTGTACTCTCTTGTCTATCCAAAGTCTCAGTATATGTAAATGTTGTGATATACATATGTGTGTGTAGATGATAGATGATAGATACTTATGGGATGTGAACATTTTAAGTGGCAGCTTAACCCAGTGAACCACCATTGCTTTTCTCTGTAGTTATTTTAGAATGAATCACAGTGACTTTCTTAATGGAGGATAAAATTACTTCCTGGAGATATCATGTATCTCATTGAAAATTAGCCATATAGTCTAGCAACCAGTGAACATAGATGGTGAAGTGCCTCAGAAATTCTTCTACCTGTGTTTATGGAGCCCGGGACCATACTTCTCACTTGAAAAGAGGGAACCATGCAATCTATTCAGAAAATGACCTTCTGTGGATCTGGTAAGCATAAATCAGTCTGTAAAACTCTACAGAATTATTTTTTAGTTTGGATTTCAGAACACTTTTGATGGGCCCATAGGACACAGGAGGTTTACCAGAGGCCTCTTAGCTTCTTTCACCATCTTCCGCTTTTCACTTTCTCATAGTACTCTGCCATCTTGCACCCTCCTGTCTGCATGCACTGCTCTCCCTTTGCCTATAGTTTTTTCTTCGCCACAAGTAACAGGGAACCCAGATAAGAGAGTATGGGAGGGAAGACAGTGAGGTTGAAATATTTATTCCACCAGCTCTCTCCTTAAAGACTCACTTTGGGCTGTTCTGCTCCCACCAAACCTGCAGCCTCCCTCAAGCCAGCACCTCCAAACCACTGACTTTTTATTTACTCACTACCTTCCCAAGCTTTCGTCCTGGAGTGCAGGAGCAATCAGTCTATTAAACTATCTATAAATAATCCTGATTTGAGTTGTTGCTTTGCCCATTAATTATCCACACCCTAGGATCCTGCTGGATACCTGAGCGACCTGGGATAAAGTAGGGATGAAGGGTGGTCTGCCTCGGGGTATAGACTTGTTCAAAAAGGATAACATCTGCTGTTGCCCACTGTTGTGGAAATGGGGATCTCCTGGTGTGAACAAGTCTGATGATAGCCCAGATTTTGGGGGGAAAGAGGGGCACATGAGACCGATTCATCTGTTCTCAATTACCTTTTAATTTAATCCCACAAATTTTTATCAAGCAACGATTGTGGTAGATGTGATGAGAAGAATGAAAATAAGACATGCCCCCTGCAAAAATTATGGATCAGAGGATAAGGGTTATTGAATGGGGTGAATGGGAAGCCAAATGCAAACTCAGGTTCTGCATTTGAGACACAGTAGTCATGAGAGCCCTCACCGAGTCATTTGAACAAAGTTTAAAGGAGAAGAGAGGGTTCATGGAGAGAGCTGACTCCCAGGAGCCATTTGCAGTTCTATCAATGTGTGCTTGGTTGTCACAATGACTGGGGGAGGAAGAGATGATGAGAGGAGGAGGCACCATTGCTGGTCTTTAGTCCACAGAATCAAGAATCTCAAGCTCATTCGGCAAACAGGACAACCACAGGCAGTGAAGAACTGAAGAACCATCCAACAAAATACCTAATAGCATTCCTGTTGATAAGTAGCAGCAGAAGCAGCAAGTAGAAAAGCCTTGAGACTGGAATATCTCCCACTTACCCATGCACATTTCTTCTTAACTGAAAGCAAGAAATGCTGGGGCCCTTGTGTCTGCATCTTTCCCACATGCCCTGCTGCACAGTGGCTCAGACACCATTCATGCAGTGTGTCTGCCCTTCCACGATGTAGATGTTTATGCCAGGATTGGAGGGAAAGCAGAATATGAGAGTGCACTTGGTGGCCCATTGCACTTGAAGATGAACTTGCTGATGATGACAGATTCTCCTATGGCAGGAAAGTCCAGTAAGAGAACCAAAGATTCTGCCTACTCTAAGCACATACAAAAATAGCTCTTTGTGGAGAGTTGCTTCTTACAGAAACAAGAAAAAGATAAAGCTCTACAACATGTCATTCTCTGAAGGATCTCACTCACTTTTGCTGGAAACTCTGAAAGAAATTAGCTGACATTTTCCTTAGAAAGTTAGGCACAGATTGATCAATAAATGAACTATAACTATACTTGTGGAGAAATGATACAGTTTGCATTTCACCTCTGTCTTCCCCTCCCCCTCCATATATATATTTATGATTCTTTGACAATTAATTCATCCTGATATAGACTTCAGACATACTCTACAAATTTGTTATCTCTTATTTTAGTATAAGCTTCCAAAATAATAGGATAAACATATTAGTCTTTATTTTGACAAATTCAATTTTTTAAAAAATAAATTTCCTTGTGATTTTAAAGTCTATTAAGATAATCCTCCTGTATGTTTTAGCTATTCAGTTATTCTCCCTCTACCCACTGAAATGTTTCAAGCTTGTTAATAATTCCTTATTTTCAGACTTTTAAAGAAAAGCAGTATAGCTAGATCAAGCATCACATTTGTGTGCTACATTTTATTTCATGGGTCAAGATCTTGGAAGAAGACCCAAACTGACCCCTATCTAAAGGTGGGTCTCATTCCCTCACAAGGCCCTTTTGCTTCCCAAACTTGCTGGAACCTAAGCCTAGCAATGGGATCCAGTAAATGCAATTTCCATGGTTGCCCGGGTCAGTGTTCCCTTAGCAAGAGATAACTTGTGGTACCTCAACCTGAAGGCTTGAGTTTGTTGTACATCAGAATGTAGGTTTGCGTTGAAATAGGATGTGGATGGCTTCTCCCATCATTTCCTCACTAGTCACAGATACTTTTGGTCCTCTGGTAATTCCTTGATAAACCGCACTCTGAAAACACCTGCAGGATTGGTTTACCAGATTATCCTGCCCCTAATTTGTTCCTTCCAGCACTGAAGGACATAACAATACATCTTCTGGAACATTGGAGATGGAACAGTTCTGCCTTGGCATTCTCATGGTGAACTGGAACTGAGTTAATGAATAGTTCCTGGAAAGACATATTTAATCTTTGCTCACAGCCCAGGAACAACAATTCCAGATACTTTGGAGCAAACTCTGAGAGGCACCTGTAAATGAGCCAGTGAATGATCTGGGAAATTTTGGACCTGGGAATCAGAATTATGTCTGGATTTTCCCTCTTTACATTGATTATAGCCATGTGGACATGGTCAGAGGAACAAAATCCTTTCAAGAATGTAAACCTAGGCCAGCACCACAGCTCACTAGGCTAATCCTCTGCCTGCGGTGCCGGTACTGCGGGTTCAAGTACCGGTTGGGGCGCCGGTTCTGTCCCAGTTGCTCCTCTTCCAGTCCAGCTCTCTGCTGTGGCCCGGGAAGGCAGTGAAGGATGGTCCAAGTCCTTGGGCCCTGCACCTGCTTGGGAGACCAGGAGGAAGCGCCTGGCTCCTGGCTTCAGATCGTTGCAGTATGCCGGCCATAGCGACTCTTTGGGGGGTGAACCAACGGAAGGAAGACCTTTCTGTCTGTCTCTCTTTCTCTCTCTCTCTCACTGTCTAACTCTGCCTGTCCAAAAAAATAATAATGTAAACCTTATTATGAGATGGAATGAAGAAAATTAATGTCCATTTGGTGGAAAACTTTATTCTTTTTCTTGTAGTCTTTCATTCATCCTTGAGATAAAACCCTCAGTGGTTTGCCTGGAATGATAAAATGTGTAACGTGGAGCAGCTTTTTCCTGGGTGGCTGTATATAATTCAACTTTTTAAATACTTCAAAGTTCTAACATATCACTGATACCTGACACTGCCCTTACCCTAAACATTGGGGAAAACAGTTTGGATGAGTTCAAAAGTTCTTCAATAACACCCATAATCATCTCCCCTTTTGAAGTCCCCATGCAATTAAATCACATATTTATTATGGTGCTCGAGTCATCTTTTCATATGTCAAAATTATTATTATTCCTGGTCTTCTGAATTGATAGTTAAAGCTCATGGGTATTTAGCATCTCTGTGTTTTTGGGGCCCCTTCTGTAGGAGAAAGCCACCATAGAAGGCCATGAACTGTAGATTAAATAAATGAAATAAAAACTAGCTATGTAGCCACTCAATATTGTTACCATTTCAAGTACTGAAGAGAATGGTTGTGACTAATTATTCAAGGTTTTAGACTTGCAGGTAGACTAGCTTGCTTTGTTAGATGTCACCTTTGTTGAGCAAGTCAGTGTTTCAATGAAATATAGTGCAAAATGTTATCATAAACCAGGAGTCTTTTTACTCAGAATGCTCACAAAAATCCATAGACATTATCCATTATCAAAATAAATATGTGCATGACCCCAGATGGAATATGGGTCTCCTTAAAGCAGGTATTATGCTTCTTCTAGACAGAAATTGCATGTATCTATAATGTTTATACATTAGTGCTTTACACGTGATAAGTACTCAACACATGTTGAAGCTATTCCTAGAAATTTCTGATATTTTGGTCTAAATTATATGACTGATTTCTTTACTTTTCTCCCTCTGTCACTGGAATACATTTAGACTTTGGAGCTCAAAGGATGGCTTTTCAAGGAGTAAATGCAAATGCATCACTCAGGTTTAATATACCACCTGCATCAGAGAGACAAAAAGATCAGTGGCTTATGATCTTGATAAAATACTGCTTCTAAAAAAAGATTTATTTATGTATTTATTTGAGAGGCAGAGTTACAGACAGAGAGAAGGAGAAACAGAGGTCTTCCATCCTCTGGTGCAATGATCAGAGCTGGACTGATCCGAACCCAGGAGCCAGGAGCTTTTTTTAGGTCTCCCACATGGGCTCAGGGGCCCAAACACTTGGTCCATCTTCCACTGCTTTCCCAGACCATTAGAAGGGAGCTGGATGGGGAGTGAAGCTGCTGGGACTCAAACTAGTGCCTGTATGGGATGCCAGCACTACAGGCAGAGGCTTAACCTACTACATCACAGCACCAGACCCATAATCTTGCTGCTTCCCCAACCCAAGGGTCTCAGTGGCATGCCATACATAAATTTGCTCATGACACCAAACAGGCCATCTGGCAAAGCCAGAGTTAAGAAAATTAGATTCAGAGTGGAGATCATGCCTTAGGAGAAGATATTACAACCCCAATCATTCTGTCCATATTCTGAGCATGAACTGAGACAAGCTCACCAGACAGCTTGATCTGAAGATATAGGCAAGGACCTGCTATCAGCAGGCTTTGGACACCAAAGGAAATCCTCTTGAGATTGCCTGCCTGGGGGTCTGGCACCCATAATGCCATACACAGACCCTAGGAGGATGGATGCAGGAAATATCTAACGCTAACAGAAGATGATTTGGTATTCAGACTAATGTAAAACCACACTTGAGAAGGTACCCTCAGCCACTAAGATGAAGGTAAAAGAGGAACCTACAGTTTGATGACATCAAATTATAGGGAATTGATTTTTAATAATGTCTTAAGATTGTCTGTGATTTGCTCAAGGATTGGGCTAAGTGACCGATATAAGTCTCAGTGCCTAAGTATAGAGAATGTTCAAGTATAGTTAATGTTTAAGTGTGGGTAACCTCAGCACATTGTATAGGAAAAGCCTGTTCACTCAGACTCTAACCTCTGAGCTTAATTCCTGGTGTCTCATCTCAGCATTGCTCATCCTTTATCAGTTCTTTTTTGAAAGTGTGGTAGCTCATCTACCATTGTGAAATGTTAATGGACTTTTTATTTATTTTTAAATGAGTTTGAAATTTTATATTTAATTGAAATGCAGAAAGACAGTGCAATGGTAATGGGGGTGATGGGGAGGGGATCTTCCATCTATTGTTTAATTCCCCAAATAGCTGAAATAGCTGGGGCTGGCCAGGCTGAAGCAAGGGGCCAGGAACTCAGTGTGAGTCTCCCATGTGTGTGGCAGAGACCCATGTATTGGAGCCAGCACCTGCAGCCTCCCAGGGTATGCATGGAACAGGAAACTGGGATCAGAAATGGAGCTTGGATGTGAAACTAGGCACTGCGATATGGGTTGTGGGCATCTACATCACTCACTCACCCCCCAATTCACGATGAACTCTCAGTAAGCTACTTCTGATTTACTCTGCCTACATAAATCTTTTTTCAGTCATTGGCTTATCAGCTAATTTTTGTATTGGCCACTGAATATAATAGGTCACCCTTGTCACAACTGCAGTCAATTTCCATGACAGATGTAAGAAATTGACACACAAAAATGATATATGACTTGTCGCCAAAAGTCAGGACTAGAACTACACTAAGTAATGCACTGATACTCTCTATTATGCAAGATTGCTTTCTTTCCCATCTATGAAATTATCTTTTGCTTTACCATCTTGAACAAACTCTCATTCTAAACTACATTCTCTCATTTCTTTATTTCTTGATTCTATCTAATGCTATGTGCAGCCAGCTTTAGAATAAGTTTTTCTGCAAAAGAGTAAAAGAAGTAATCACAATATTGTCAGTCTTAATGAAAAAATCATCAAGCAAACCTAATTAAAGAAGGTCAATTAAACACGCACTGAACTACCTGAAGTACGAAGAGTAATTTTCTGTTTAGGAACTCAAGATAAAGCAATTACCTGGTTGATCTGACATGGAGCAAGGACCCAAATTCTCAAAGCACAATTCTGTTTCTGAGATTTTTTTAAGTAATTTACACTGATTTTTACAAAAATTCAATAGCAGGTTTAATTTTCTTTTGTATGTTGCTTTGGAAACCACACAGTTGAGTAAGATTCAGAAATCAGTTTAATATAGATTTCCTCCATTCTGCTGTTATCCTATCAAACCCCATATTTTGGATTGTTCTTGATTTAGAATCAACTGGGAGTATACTTAACAAATGTCCTTCATAATTAAAAATAAATTTCGACAAATACAGAAAACTTTCATTTCCTAATAAAGTGGCTCACAAAATTTGAGGTAAAAGAATCACATGGAGATATTATAAAAATATCAATTCCTGACTCAACAGGCAAAGTCACTGCCTGAGGCAAGTATCCCATATCAGAGTGCCAGTTAGAGTCACAGCTGCTCTGTTTACAGTCCTGCTCCCTGCTAATGTGCCTGGGAAGGCAGAGGAAGATAGCCCAAGAACCTGGGCCTACACCACCCATGTAGGAGACAAGAATAGAGTTCCTGGCTGGCCTGGCCCAGCCCTGGCCGATGCAGCCATTTGAGTCAGCAGATGGAAGATCCTTATCTCTCTAACACCCCTCCTCCCATTGCTCTGTCCTTCATATAAATCAATAAATCTTTTTTGAAAAACACTAGTTCCTAGGCTTTCCAGAAATTCACTTTGTGAAAATTGAGCACAAACATTTTCATATTAATGAGCACACGGTGGTGATTTAAAATGTGTTGCACAGACTGTATCTGGAAATATGCATCCCTTATGAAACTAAGGATACATTAAACACCCTCCAAATTCAAGGAGGGTCTTGCATGCCCCTACCTGTTTTGATGATGATATTTACCCAGGTTCGGTGGTCTCATGTAACAGAGATTACAAGGATCAAAAGACTCTTCTATTCTACCCAGTGTCATGATTTACCTTACAGAATTCCATGAAAGCCAAGCATCTTGAAATCACATCATTTTACGTGTGTTCCTCACTACCCAGACAAATGTCCAGATCCTGCCTATTTGCAATCTAATCTCAAAAATCATGTGCTTCTTGACTTAAGGTTTTTACTGACTTCTTTCCTGTGTCCCTACAGAATTGATCCCTGGGCAAACCATTTCTAGCTGTCTCAGAAAGTTGATTTCTGTTTGCTGTGGAGAGTGGGACAGGCCTATCAGGTGTTTAAAAAATATCATGCTAGTGGCTGCATAACAGAGTGAGCAGGGATAGGAAAGTCCCACAGGGAACAGAGGTTTTCTTCTTGCAAAATCAGAAGACAGATGTAAACAGAACA